CCCCCCCCCCCCCCCCCCCCCCCAGGACGAAGAAAGACACAACGAGATCGGGGGTACGAAACCCACGGAGCCAGGAACCAAGCGGTCCACTGTGTCCCCATGTCTGATACTCCCAGGCTCCATATCGCGAGGCCAGACTCGAGGTTGCTATGCACTACGGAAGTCTCGAGGCCCCAGTGGACGTGGTGAAAAAGATTAGTTCATGGCTCCGGTGGTGCCATATGAGACATTCTTCTGTCGTCATGTCGGATTCACCAAAAGAGGCACCAAAGCCTTGGTTATACATAGTACAGCTCGGAGATGATCATATGCCGTGACTCTCCAATCGCAACGGGTTTCTACATATTCCTTCCACTGCTCCAGAAACTTGGAGTTTTGTGTTCTCGTCATCAAGACATGGACTTTTTCCACCTCGACACCAAGTGGGTGCTCCTCTTGTGGCTTGCTGCCGCAAATCCATGGCTTTATATTTGAGAATGTCTTTTCGGACCGTCGTGAAAGTCTTCATACACCGTCGCCCCACTCTCCCCGCCGTCCCAGCCAATTAAAATTGCTGTATCCTCTTGCTTCTACTAGTTCCCGGTTTTAACTCTACTCTACTCGTACCGCGCCCGCCAAGCTCCCAGATTTCAAGCCATTACATCCATCTAGGGGTTGCACTAGCCACCCAGCCAGTCTAACTTAGCAATTATTCTAGCATGTACCTCATTGCATTGCCTCCTCTACTAAACTACCTATCATCACCCTCGTCACCCTCAATTAATCTACTATATCGTACATCGCCAATTATCGCCAAATCAACAAAGCGCTATCCTTCAATCGACGGTACGGATCGATCTATTACTTTTCAGTGCATTTCCCTAGCTAACCGTGATGCAGATGGCCGATGCAGCGACCCAGCCCGCGTGCGACCGTACCGCTAAACGCCCTATAAAGTGCGCTGTAAAGTGCCCTATAAAATTGGTTTAGTGCGTGTACTGGCTGTAGTCTGGAGTCTGGGCTTGGCATGGCATGAAAGAATGTAATGCCCAGATTTACTGGGCGAAATTTATGAAAGAATACAACTGCGAAGTGGAGAGTGGACCGCGGGTTGGATGTAGCGATTTTAATTGGCTGAGACAGCGGGGAGGGTGGGGCGACGGTGTATGAAGACTTTCACGACGGTTCGAAAAGACATTCTCTTATATTTTCTCATTTTCACCAAATTTCTCCCCTCTCAGATGATTCATGGGTGAATATCTCGCCTTCTGGGGCCACCCATTCGTTCCTCTCCTCCTTTTCAGACCAATGAGATGCTCCAATGTCGGCCTTTTTTCTCTTGATGGAGGCCGAGGGCGCTCAGAGCTCCAGCCAATGAGGCTCAAAAACAGGGGTCTGACTTAAACAACCTTTGCTCACCTTCCCGCACTAGCATGGCAGCTTCTGGTCATATCCCAACATACGCTCTCTCACAGGCTGACGCCAACCCTCCTACCCTTTTGTACCTTTTTCACACCTTTATTGCCGTTGGGACATTCCCTGTCTTTGTTCCACACGTGCTATAGACCAAGCTGGGAGTCTCCTGGATCATTCTTACTCCAAAACTCCTTCAGGGGTGTCTATGAGGAGAAGAAGAGGGGAGAAATGAGTGGTCAAGCCGGCAGACAAGTCCTCAATGACTCCAGTTTGAGCTACTTTTCTGGTTTCTCACCCCTCCCGATGACTTGCTTGGTTTGGACCACTAGCCGGCCCCAGGCGTATGCAAGCAGTACACTACCTTTCGGTAGATGATCGTGGATCTGGTCAGAAGGTGTGGGCGAAGATATCACTGGCAGACTGGGTCTAGAAGCAAGCCTCGAGAAGGCAGTTTTGTTCCAGGGAAAAGGAGCGTCCCGGCCCACTGGCAGCGCGCTTGTTGCGTTTCATGTTGGGGAGTTGGGGATTTATGGACAGGAGCAAGCGATTGCACCCTCTGACGATCGACTGGGCGACAAGTCAATCATGCCATATCCTCTTCAGGATACCTCAACGCCCGTTCTTTATGATTAAGGTATCCTGTTCACTCTGGGTTCACTCTGGGTTCATCTCGCCCCGCGTTTCAGCAATCGTGGCGGACGCTCCCACTGGTTGACAGTGTCAAGGCGACTCAACACTTCCGCGAGTAGGAGCTTTGCATAATCTCACGATGTGGATCAACCTTTGAAGATGGTGTGTTACGGCAGACCAGACATCATCCTACGAGTCATATGCAGCTCACCATTTTCAGCAGTAAAGATACTAGTGTCCACCAGATACGGATCCTCTTCCCCTCCGCTCTTAGTAGCCGCGCGTGTGGCTTGCATCAGACCAACGGCTTGCTAAGCATACTGCTATCAACAATCACGTTGAGATCTAGTCAGGTAATTTCAGCCCCTCTTACCGGCTCACAATCAAAAGGCTTTATATCACATGAGAGAACGGAAAACTCCATCAGCGATCCGCCAGTGTCACAAAAGCACGCCGGTTGCTACAGCATTGTGCCAATGTCATCGCCGGTCGGTGACGAGTTAGATGGAATCCCCTTTGATATCATAAATCACAAAAGGTACTTTTTAAAATGCACATTTCCTCTAGATCTAGGCCACAACTAACGTACGGCGTAGTAGTATGATTTACCAAGCCATATCGGTGACAGTGAGACCAATCTGCCATGACCTAAGACCGAGTAAGCATTATTACATTCGTGTTGGCTTCCTTCCCCGCAAAAGCTCTGATACATATTGCGAGTTAGCCTTGGCAACTGACAAGACAGTCCTCTTCTGGTGCCTCAATTTCACAATTGAGGATATAGCCTCGTCGCGTTCACACGTGCTCTGGGAGGCTATGAACCCAAAACCTGGATTGAGTGGATGTTTCAGATCCTTCGAGGGGAACAAGTCAATGTGTTGTAATCACCTCCAGCATCATGGTTATCCTATCGATAATCACGGCCGAGTTAATGAGGAGTGACAGATGTGAATAACTGTGAGCTGGGGTACTTTTCTTTGATGTGGCTCGCGGTGGTAGTGGTTTGTGTGCCATTCATCGGCGGGGTCGTTGGTGTCTTTGGGGGGGGGGAGCTGTCGGTTGTAGGTAGGTACGTATCTCCAAGCACTAGCGCTCTGGGATTACCACAGCGGAGCCATACTTTCCGTTTTTCCAGAAACGTAATGTAACTTACGTGTATTTTTCATAGCAAGGATACCACCCACTAACTCCCTGCTGACTGACGGTGGCGCTACTCTGTTTTTCCTGGCATCATTGTCCACATCTTGGACATCTGCAGTCTTCAGCTCTAGTTGCATGCCAGAGACCGGCCGATTCGTCTCTTGGTGCGTCGGGGTTTTTGTCATCCAGCATTGTGCATATGCATGGCTGAGCACAGCCTGCAGAGATAGACGAGGGAAATCGGAGTTACGCAAGCCCGGACGCAGTCAGTCAGGTATGTACTGCGATAGGTACTGTCAACCGCAATGGCGAGGACGTGACAAACTGAAGGGAGTTCCCGGCCTACACAGTACACACACATACCACGGGACTCCAGGTACGCACATATCCCAACATCTTGGCCACGGAAAGTGGCGTCGCGCGAGTCTGAAAAGAACGCACTTTGGGCTCTACAGTACGCTACAGTATACACACAGCTCCGGAGAACCCTGGCATCTGGGGTCGAGTTGATCGATGCCAGGCTCTTCAGATGCCCTGTCCGCCCGCCCGTCACCCGTGGTCTCCGGTAGCGTTGAAAAGTTTGTCGACTGTGAGAAACTTCAAGAAAGGAAAACCGGATACCCGAGATCTTGGCTTCCTTGGAATGTCGTCCTGTTGGAACCCAACTCTGGCTTACAGATGCTTGACTGCCGGACTACCCTATTACATGGAGCTAGCCCGGAAGCCATGGAGCCATGATAATGGACTAGGCAGACCCGACGTCGTCGATACAACATACGATAGATAGCACGGGGATTTGGGACTTGAGACGGGGCTCTTTTCCGGATTGATGATGCTAACTAGGTAGGTTTGACCATTCCTACTCCATCAATACGGTTGAAAATGCAGGCCAGATTGGGAGATGAGAGTTAGTCCATGGCCTTGAATGGCTGTCGAAAAGTGGCTTGAAACAGAAAGTGACCTCTCAGGCTTCGGCGCTGACCGGCCTCCTGACGATGGCAACATGCTCTGATTTTGGCGAGTTTTGTCAACCAACAGCAGCTGCAGCCAGCGCGGTGTAGCGGGCCCCATCTGGACCTTCCGGGCTTGTGGCTTGTCCGGCCACTAACGACGACGCATTCAAGATACACACCTCCCCCCCCCCCCCCCCCTCTCTTCTCCGCTCTGGTGTCCTCGTCGCTTGTTGTGGTTGCCCTCCCGTCTTCGTGTACACTACACACTAATGTACCCATGCATGCAGCTGTAGGTAGGGATGTTGGTGGTGTAGTATGAAAAAAAGGGCTCGAAGGGGGGCAGTGGCAGTGGGTGACAGCGCGAGTGACGGCAACGACGGGTACGACTATAACACCCACTACACCCCACCGTCCTAAGCACCCAGACTCTCTACACGAGATTTCTCACCCTCCTTCTTCTCCCTCACGAGCCCCTCGTCTCCCGTTCTTCTCTTTTCATTTGACGTTGCCGGCGAGTACGCTAGGCCCTTGTCTTGGGACTGCCCGCTTCGTCACCTTGCTCACCTTGTTTCTTATACTACAGTGCTCTGTCACTCTCAGGTCTCTCACCTCACCTCACCTCACCAGCCTCCCAACTTTCAACTCACAACCGGCCATAATGCCAGTCCAGCTATTACCGGCCTCGGCCGCCGCCTTTGCCCCAAGAGCATCTTCCGTCAACGTCGTGCTGGGTTCCAAGGTTGAGCCATGGTTGACCAAGACACTGAAGCGCATCAACAAAGTCAAGAGGCCTCTCAACAGCGTACCCCAGCACACAAAATGCTTGACTGAGACCCTGTCCTCACCGAATGCCATCTGGATCCTGGCTTCGCTCATGCTCCCCAAGGCTCCCGAAGACAAACTCAAGAACGACTCAAACCCGTTGGTTGAGGCCATCTCCAACTACCAGCTTATCCACCTGGAGGCTTACATCGTCCACGTCGACATGGTCCTGAGGAACGAGGTTGCCTTCAAGCTTACCCCCGACACCATCGAGTTGCTCATCGAGTATCACAAGGACGTCCACTGCCCCAATACCAAGGCCAGTACGTACGACTGGTCTGAGAAGGATCAGCAATGCAAGAAGCTTCACGAGGACTTTGTTCAGGCCATCAACAAGTTTGTCTTCACCACGCACGTGACGGCTTTGGAAGGTCTCGAAGAGGAGGGAGCTGGAGAATTGCTGGATGGTAGGAGCGAGGATGTCAAGAGTGCCGTCATGAACCTCTACAAGCCGCTGCTGCCGCCTCCGCCTAGGATCGTCGATGTCGTCCGTCAGCCTCCTTTGTTGCCCAGCTCTCCCGCCAACGTCAGCATGTGGTCGCAACCCACAACGCCCTCGTCGCTGCCTGCTCCTGTCGAGTCGTGGAGAGTCCTACCGTCGAGCCCCAGTGTGGCATCATCCGGATCCGCCAGCCCCCCCATGTGGGCAAGCATGGGTGTCAGCGAGGTGCAAATGCCCTCACCTACACCTGCTTATAGCACGCCGTCCTACAGCACGCCGTCCTACAGCACGCCTTTCTCCTCGGCCGGCTACTACTACGGCTCTACGCTCGTCTCCGCCCCCCTTCCGCTACCCAGTATGCTTGCTCCTCATTGCGGAGTTAGCATGGGATTCAACAACTTCGGTTGGGATCGCTATCAGGAGTACACCACGACAATGTGACAACCAACGTCTGCAACAACAGACACGGGTTATCCAGGTTATCCAGCCGCGACGACTTCCGCATGATCGCCAGTGTTCTGGATCTTTTGAATATCCACAAAGCCAGGACGCGGCACTTATGCCCATAGCGGCTGGGTGATTTGATCACACAAGCAAGAGGCACTTCGCCGTTTGGCATATGGATTCGGAGCGACATTCGACACTTCTTTCCTCAACCAACCTCCTCTCTTGGTGCATCTACTCCCGACTGGTTTTTCTTTTATCTCACTACGGGTTAGCGGGCGAGCGTCTATTTGTTTTTTGTGCCTTTTCAGTTTCTTTGGCTTTGAGATATCATCATCATCATTATCACCGTGTGCTTGGTCATCGGCTTTTCCTATTGTTTCAACCTCACATGGCAGGGACCTGGGGCGGGTAGTCTGTTTGCATTTACATCATGGCGGTTATAGGCTGGTTTGCGTGTTTTGCTTTTAAGAAGAAGACTGCAGCAATGCACCCACGGCTCGGCGGCGCAAGCCCGAGACAGAAACTTTCTTGATTGAGATTACCCCTTTTGTCTTTCACTTTCTTTCAATTTTTTTTTTGTTTTCCCCTTTTTCCACTCGCAGTACACGGCATTCAAAAAGGCTGGCATTTGGAAGATACCCCTTTCGCGGTGTCTCGGGCTTCCCTCACGGGTTTACCCCACCGCACATTCGCTTCAAGACGTTTCCATCTTTACCCTTTATCTTGGATTTTCATTTTGTCTTACGGATGATGTTTACGGCCTTTAATGTTGACGGATATAATCCCTATGGCTACGACGACAAAGACGACTTCTAACGATACGAAGGGTTTTCCATCTTACGACTTGATGTCGAAGTGAAGACCAACGGACTCGAAGCAAGAAACGATTGACGCTACCGTTCGGATTATATGCGCTCCTGATTAGAGGAAGAGAGGGATCACCCGACACGAACGAGACTGGTTCTCGGGATCCTCCCTCTATGGCATGGCCGATTTAACACCATCTAGCCGCCACCGCGTATCTGGAATATCGCAAACTCCGGCAGACACTGGTTGTCGACAAAGACTAACGATCTCTGATTCTTAGCCTGTCTGTCTTGCAGATCCAGCAAGAGGCTCTGGGGATATTCAGGTTGGGGTGCAGAGGGGGGACTTGAAGCAAGGATGGTTTTCTCTAAAACGCGATGCAGAAAAAGAAGGGCAATACGGAATAGTGTACGGCACTCACTGCTGAGCAGTGAACGGTATACAACATCATCACCTCCTTTCTGCCGTGTTAAGTTTGCTTTCTGGCCTTTCTTAGCCTCTCAACACCACCGACACACTGGACAAATTTGGTGAAGCGACTCTATCGATTATCCTCGTGGACTCTCGGGGGACGGGATTACTTCGGTGGATATACAGGAGGGGGACTGGCCAGCGGGGAAACAAGTGTGGTTCATCTCACCGCATGCCAAAGCTTCTCCATATCTCATACTAATAGCCAAACGGTTCTTGAACCGGCCTCGCATAGTTGGGATGGTTGAGAAGCAAGGCAGAGGCCTATGATTTGAAACAAGGTGTCCTGGCCGCTGAAGGAAATGCCACGCATTGTGCGCGGAACAAGAGCGACGAGTCACTTTTGCTGTGCGACCTGACTTTCTCGTTCTCATTCCATGTTTGATGGCGTGCGCATTCACTCACCGGGAATTCCTTGCTTTTTAATGATTTCAATCATGGGTCTGGGATGCTGGCTCGGGGTCTTTGGAGACTCGCTCTGTGAGTGAGTCGAGACGTGTAGTAGATACCCTGGTGGTTTTGGCCTATACGTTGTCGTGAAGGTTGGAGTAGTTATACCAAGTTGCGGATATCATATCTGGAAGTTTTTCAAGCACGAAATATCATGTACCTCTCTGCTCGATATGTCTGTTGCCCGCTGTGACTTGTGAGTCTTGCTCTCATCAAAATTGTTTATGATGCTACGTAGTGAACCTGGAAAGGCTCGGCAGTTTTTCACCCCCCCCTTGTCTGCAGCAACGTGACGATCTCCAACTTCGGCTCCGAAAGGAAGAATGGACGAAAAGATGAATGGTTGTTACAAGGGTAACGTTACCCCTCGCGCCCGTTCGGAGTTCGGGAATACACCGTAAGTGAAAAGTTTCAAAGCCGAGGTGACAGTACGGGAACGGTACCACGCTAACTATACTACAGTAGATACCCCTGTATCTGCAACCTCCCCATTATGCAAAATCACTATGTGATGCAAGGGATTCTCGTGCCCAGATTATTTTACTATGGAGATGCCTGCTACAGTCGATACCCCTGTTTCTGCAAGTAATCCGGGCAGCTATTTTGGCTTGCACTACAAGGCGGTTTTGTATATGAGGGGGTAGACTCCACTCTATACTATTGTATAGTATATAGCTGATAAGAGCTTCTAATAATTAATAAGAGGCTCTAATAGCTGGTAATAGCTTTGATAAGGGGCGATAAGGGTGCTGGAAACTACCTGTTAGGGCCTCTGTTAATTGTAAGTTTGTATAGCTGGCTGGCTGGCTGGACGGCTTGCAATTAGCAATTAGTAGGCATCTCTATAGTAAAATAACTTAGGTACGAGAATCCCTTATATTATATAGTAATTTTATATAATGGGGAGGTTGTAAATATATGGGTATTTATTATAATTGCTAATTGCAAGCCGTCCAGCCAGCTAGCTATACAAACTTGCAATTAATAGGGGCCCTAATAGGGGGTTTCCGGCACCCTTATCGCCCCTTATCAAAGCTATTACCGGCTATTAGAGCCCCTTATTAGCTATTAGAGGCTCTTATTAGCTATATACTATATAATAGTATAGAGTGGAGTCTGCCCCCTCATATGCAAAACCGCCTTGTAGTGCAAGCCAAAATGGCTGCCCGGATTACTTGTAGAAATAGGGGTATCGACTGTATCCTTCCCTACTTCACATGCCAACTAGTGTAGTGTACTTGGGTACCGTCCGCCAAGCGGGATCTCGAAGGCAAAATCAAGAAAATATTTCTGTAATGACCGCGATTTGCACGTATGGATGGAAAGATACGGTTTCCGGACGCCATGATCAACCATGATATGGAACATACCGCAGTAGACATGACCAAAAAAAAAATCTTCAAGTGTCGATCTGAGTCTGACTGAGATCTGGGGGTCCTGGGGGTCCGTGGCCATGGACAACCAAAAAAAAAAAAAAAAAAAAAAAAAAAAAAAAAAAAGGCCAAGGAAGCGTAAGCTGGCCAGTCAAAAGCAAGAACAAGGGGGTCTTCAGGTTTTTAGTTCCTTTTTCTTCCGGTCACCGTTCGGGACGCACCGAGGGCGGGGACCGTTCCGTTCATTGTCACACGACAACGAGAGACATCAGATGGCACGAACTTTTCTTGATCTTTTCCTCACCGCCTTCGTCGCTGCTATTGTGGAGCACGTGCGCTGAAATTGATGCGGCGATGGGAAGATTGTCTGACAGGTAGGGCCGTCACGGTGAGTGTGTGATGAGGAATGAAGGATTTACAAGGTGATAGCGTAGGGATGGAGAAGATGAGCGATGGTTACAGCGCTAAAATGACCCGTACCGGATGTTGCTCCGACCTCCAATCCTTTTTTCTACGTGTTTTTTTTCCGCGATACGCGGTAATAAGACGAAGCGACGTCGAGATACATATGGAAGTCTAGACTAGATAGCGTAGTGTCACGACGATGATCTCCAGAGTCCAGCCTCGTGCTATTAACTAGTTTTTACCGTAGTTGGTGTAGGTCTATCGTATCTGGCACACTAAAAACTCACATTACCATTGCCAAATTGGCCAGAATCTCATCAGTGAGACATTCCCGTAGAATGAGTCTAGTGTTGGATCGTTAGCGCAATCTTTCGAAGCTGAATGTCTTTCGTGGATCATTTGTTTGTTCCACACCTCCCACAAAAGAAGCTTACTGCTGCTACGCTGACTGCAATATCCGGAATTTGCAGCGACGGACACTATATTGACTGCAATATCCGGAATCGTTGTGCATACGACGTACCCTCTGTCCTCCTACCTAATTAACTGGAGAAGCTCAACACAGTACATACATAGTAGCTTCCGCAATTGCGTTATCGTCCGTCCCGTCAGCCTGTCGGGCTGTTGCATACATAGCGTCATGCCCGTCCGTCCCTTACCTTTGCATATGTATATCCACTTTCATGGCAGTTGTGCCACAGTAAACACTTTATCCTGCAGTGCTGAACTTGCTGATACGCTTCAAGTTGATGACACATGTGAGTAGAAAGAAAGACCGATTTATCCGGCCGACGGCAACCGTTGTCAGACAGTTTGAGTTGAATGGCGGCGGTAGTCGGCAATAAAAACGCAGCGAGGAATGGAAAGGAAAAGGCAAGGAGAAGAAGAAGCGAAAGTTACGAAATGGAATAGAGAAAAAATACACAGAGCAGGGGGGGACGCCAGGAAACACTTGTTTTAGCGTTTAGCGCCTCAAGCGGCTGCGGCCTGTTCAGCGACCGCTGTGGGGTTATCGGGGTGGGTGTGTCAACGGACGTCTGGGGTTATTCGATTTCATGGAGACTGATATTTGTTCAAGTTGCAAGCCAAAAGAGCCCAAAGAAGGCCTTTGCATATTACTTACTGGCCTTTCCTCTGAAATACGATTTTGCGGCGCTGACTACCTACACAGGAGTGTCAAGCCACCAACCAGCAGAAGAAATTATTCTCGAGTTCTTGACCTTGACATCTCCATTTTACCTTGCAGAGACCTGGGTGACAGCGCTTCGCTTCGCTTTGCCTGCGTTCTTGTTTACCATAGTAGGTATCCATGTACTTTGCCTGCGCGGACGGAGAAGTAAGTGCGCATGACACCCACCCACCCTCGCTCTTATGCAATGCAAATTGCCTTCTCTGCATACCCGGTCCGCCTCTTATAGGTAGGTAGGTTGCTAGATATGCAGTATACAGTTACAGTATACGCAGGCGGCAGTTTCCTGTTGGAGGCCTCAGTTTTGTTTTTTTCTGCTGTCCATTACTCATCATCCTCCATCTTCGGCACTTGACGACGCTGGACACTCTGTAACACATACTCGACACCCCCCGATATCGTACAGGTAAAGAATCAACTCTAAACGCATCATCTGCATATGCGAAACGGAATAAAACAAAACAAAACAAGACCGGACAGTCAAGCATATCTATCTACCTTGAACACTTCATGTCTCCCTCTATTTAGGCAGACCGCAAAGTTTACATATTTCCAGTATGTATCTAGAGATATGCGCCTGACGTCGAGTTGGGTAGTTCATCCGATGCTGTGGTCCGGTTGTTTGTTACATACACACCCTCGTTACACAAAAACCGTTGCGTAACAGGACCCGACGCTAGGTGGGTACATAATAGGTAGCAGTGAAGACCTGGAACATAAAATGTAAAGACAGAACCAAGACAAGGCATGGCAAGGCACAACCCGACTGCGAGCAAGTATTTGAAAGTTGCAAAAGCTGTTTGAGCAGGTAAAGTTCACAAGTCAGCGGCTGAAGATAGTTA